TTAATATTTATAAAAAAAAATTCCCAATACATAAAAAATAAAATAAATAAAAAAATTTATAATCCCCTCACTATTTTTCTAATACTACCTCCACCTCCTCCATCTCAATCCCCCTCCTAACCTCCATCTATATCCCCTCCTCCATCCTAATCCCGTCCCCAACTCTATAAACAAACACAACACTAAATAACCCCACCTCCATCCTAATCCCCTCTCATCCATTATACTCCAAAACAAACGGGGCCTTATATTGACCATGATTACCTAGGAAAAATTTATTATTACTTGGTTTGGTAGCCCTCTAAGAAATGCTATGGCATTATTTACTTCTTAGTTGCTTCATGGACTTATTTAGGGAATCAATCTATCTTCTAGGGCATGCGAAATGATGTGTTTTTAAACTTTTGTACAAACATGCATGAAAGTATCGAGTTGATTTGGCCTTGGGCTTCTATGAAATTTTTTGTTGAAAATTCTTTTTTGTTGAATCTCTATTATGAATATAAATTAGTATGTAAACATACAGAGTTGTTTGCGTACATATGCTATATGGCCACTAGTGCCACGAGATCGCAGGACCAACGCAACACGAATGGTGCTAAAAAGTTTAATGTGGGTGGTTTTGATAATGCTTTGAAATGATTGGAGCATAAACATCAGTGATTACAGGCAACAATACCATAGATTCATCTGGTTGAAGCTTTGAGATGGGTTTTTTTCAGCCTTGACAATTCCCAGAATACAAACTTGGGAATATGGAATTGTAGTATCTTTGCATTTATATTCTTGGAATTGTAGTGCTTCTTGGTATGTGATAAAATCTTATTGTTAGTACTTCTTCAAGTTTTAAATACTGTTTATAAGTATTGGGTACAAATTCTTCAATTATGTTTATTTTGATAAATCTGATTGCAGTTTATGTTATGATACAAGCATATAGACCAATGAAGACTATAGTTTCTATGCTAGAACATGATATTTGGATATGTTATTTTGTGGTTAATGTTTAAACATCATCTGTGGATATGTTATTTTGTGGTTCATGATTGGATAATAAATTGAATGGAAAAGTGAATTAATGTTGCATTTGCTATTTGAATGGAAGTCATTATTTCATATTAGTGCTATTCAATTTTATTACAGGTATGTTTTTAGTTCAATCACATAAAATTAGCAGAATTTCAAAAAAAAAAAAAAAAAAGAAGATATCGCGGCGTTTCTAAAAACGCCACTTAAACCCTAAGTACAAATGGTTAGATTTTTTTAAAAACATAAGACGGTGCTTTAAAAACGTCGCTAAATATCATAGTGACGTCACACTACCATTAAGCAGGAAATTTGGTGGCGTTTTTAAAAATGCCGCATATAATAATATAATGGCATTTTTAAAACGCCATAACGCTATAGCGACGATCACATTTTCGGTGTTTGGTACTAAACGTCACAAAAAAGAATTAGCGATGTTTTTTGCACAATGCCGCTAAATGTGGATTTCTAGCAGTATTAGTTTTATATTAATTTCCTTCTTTAAAAATGTTGATGAAGTGTTAACCTGGAGATTAGAGAGAAGCTCTATTTGGAATGAGAAAATTTTAGTTAAAAAGTTCAAAATTATTTTAAAAAGTTTAAAAAAAATAAAATTAACTCATATAAAAATCATAGATTTGGTTTCACTCTTTTTTTGTTTTACATTTTTTTCATAAAAACCAAAAGTTATCTTGAAAGGATTTAATTTCACTTCATATTTTACCTAAAAAATCATTAAATAGTAATTTTTTGACTTTAATAAACATTCTCGTATGTACTCAGATGGAACATTTGGATTTACCTTTATAAAGTTGAATTCTATATGTTTATTAAAAAGGAAAGTAATTTTTTTAATTGATGTTTTTATTAGCTTAGGTTACAACTTATTAATCGGAAATGAATCCTAAATACCATCGTGAGCAAAGACAAAAACGAATTCAAAACATTAATAAGTTATTAAAACATTATGACAAGCTATTGGTAAACTGGTTAGTACTCATATAAGAGAGTTTTAAATTATAAAATAAATAATGTAAAATCCAAGCTACATAATTTATAATCACCATTACATCAATATTTTGTACTTTGATTTAATAAAAATCTCTCTTGACTTTAATTATTTTATTTGAGATTAAAATCTTTTTTTGTTTGCCAATATATAAGCTATTTTAATCAAAAAATCACTACAACTTATCATATTATTCTTTCTTTTTCTTTTTTTAGCATCTATTGGTAAAATGTCAAAAGATTAAAATGATCAATTTCTAAACAAATGAGTAAGTGATATATATTAACAAAAATTGTAAGAAAATTTGTACATAAAATGATACGACTATAACAAAAAAATTATCATTTTAAAATAAAATATTCATTTATATGATATTTGTTAGAAATATAATCATGACAATCATATGATGACAAATTTTGTAATATTTTTTTTTTAACATATACATAGCAATTTTCATTTAGAAAGTGGCTTAAGTTTCGACCTCCCTGCTTCTTCAACAAGGGAAATGCTGTCACAAAAAATGCATAACTTTATTAAAAATTTTGTAATATTAATTATAAAATATATAATCTTGTTATAAAATAACGTAATAAAAAATATTATAATGAAATCACAAACTTTTGAAACACACTTCTAAAATTTTGGACATTTTTATTGTATTAATTTTTAATAAAATTATATATTTTTATGATGGGATTTTTTTATTATTTATTATTGTCATAGAATTTCCGCTTCAACAAATGTGGAGTATAGCTGGTCTGATGTGTCACTTCCACTAGACAACGTGGCAATCAAGTATTGGTTAAAGTTGTAGAAAGCATGATTGCTACGTGGACCTTGGTGTTTAACTTTCACAATAATTCCAGACATTAGGCCTGAGTTTGTTGTTGTTTTGGAGAAAAATAAAAATAAAAAAATTATTGACTCAATGGAGTTGAGATTTTTAACGCTTGAGATTAAAAAGTTAAATTTTTTAACTTTTTTATTTTATGACAGGAAAAATAAAATGATTATTATTTGAATTTGATATTTTGTTTCATTGATTATTTTTAATCTATTTTATCTTTTAATGACTAATTTAATCTCAAGCCAATCTAACCCACATAGCCAAACGAAGCCATATTTTTGCGATATAAATTTTGTATTTTTATTTTTGTATGATGATGTTATTTCTTTTCATGGAGATGTGTATGGTTCCTCGTAACGACATGGTGGTTGGCCTAGTGGGTGACGACTGGAGTCTGGAGGTTTGCTCCGTCCCAGGTATCAGGTTCGAATTCCCTAGCTAATAAATACATACTTTGGGGCCACGGGCCGCAGGGCGTCAGTCCTGTTTCAAAAAGTTTGTTCGGGTTGTAAGGACTTAATCTGGTGCGTATAAGCTGGCTTAAGATACTTTACATAACCAAAAATATATATATATATATATATATATGGTTCCTCGTTTACAAACATGCTATTTTAATAACTTTTTGAATTTTTACGAAACGATGTGCAGAAAAGTAAAAAAGGTAATGTGATAACTTATAGGGATTTTTTGATTTTTTGGCTAAAATTAAAAGTTGCCAAACGATAAGAGGTGTCGTTTAAGTTGTTGGCTAATTTGGCTTTTTGGCTAAATTAGCCAGAAAAAGATAAAATATGCTAAAAAAATTAAAAACAAAATGTCACAATTAAGTCATAATTATTTCACTTTTTCTTTTACAAAAATCAAAAAAATAAAAGTAAAAAGTCAACCCAAACAAATTTTTTAGTGGGACTAAAATAACTAAAAAATCAAAAAGCCAACCAAAGTTTCCAAACGAACCTAAATACTTTATACTTTGACTTTTCAAATAAGAATAACATTTTGGAACATCCTAAAATGAGATATATGACTAACAAAATAAGACATAGGGAGTAATCAATTCTTAAATAAATTAACTTACATACATATCGTTAGATAGGGAAAGCCTTAGAGGAGCAACCATTTCCACTCTATTGTAAATTGGTATAATTTTATTATAAAATTTGATAATATCAATCACAAAATATGTAATTTCGTCACAAATTGACGTAACAAAAAATGTTAATAACAAGCCACAAATTTTGTAACATGAACCAGAAAATTTTAGACATTTTATTACGCTAATTTATGATAAAATTATATATTTTGTGATTAATATTATAAAATTTAATAATAAAATTATATTAATTTATAATAGAAGGCATACACCACTAAAGAATACATACCATGGACTTTCCTCATCAGAAATGGTCATGACAAGTGGAAAGAGATGATCATTAAGGTTGTGATAACCGATCCTTAATTCCTCCATTTTATAACACTACAAGAATTAACACTTTTAGCAACAAAAAAATTAGTCGTTAAAAGTCTATTTTTGGTCGGCAAAAGTTATCCGCGACCAATTTTTTTGGTCGCTACTTTGGTCGCCAATTGAGGGTCGGCAAAAGTAATTCGCGACCAAAATTGTAGTTGGTCGGCAAAAGTTGGATTTTGCCGACTAAATTTTTGGTCGCTAAATATTTAATTACCGCGACTAATTTATTTTGTCGCCAAAACACTTTGGTGGCGAAAAGTGATATTTTCCCGACCAAATTTCTTAGTCGCCAATTGTCACATTTCGCGACCAAAAATTTTGTCGCCAATTATTACATTTCGCAACCAAATTTTTTGGTCGCAAATTATCACATTTCGCGACCAAAAAAATTGGTCGCCATTTGTGTCTTTTCGCGACCAAAACTTTTGGTCGGCAAAAGTGAGATTCCACGACCAAGAGCTGTTTTGGTCGGCAATACATGTATTTTTTGCGACCAAAACTCTTGGTCGGCAATTGTCATTTTTTGCAAAAAAAAATTATTTTGGATGTCGCGACTAATAAATTAGTCGCCAAAGCAGGAAAACAATACATCTGTAATTCCTAATAATTCATTCAATCCATAATAAACCTATAATTTTAAAGCATCATTCAAATTAACTAAATCATTAACATTCGACACAATACATAATTCATTAACATTCGACACAATACAACTATTCTAAGTTTTCATTCACAAGTCACATCATTAACTTTTGATGTGTCTGTATCTCTGTCTTCTGAATCAGGCTGCATTTCAGGAAGACAATCTACTGGATCAGACACATCAGAATTTTCAAGCACGAGTTCTACATCCTCGATCGTGAAATATTTTCTTTCATCAGCAAGGCTTTCTTCTTGGAGGATGTCTTGGATTGCAACACCTGACTTGTCATCCCTTTCTTTATCCTTCACCTTGCGATTATTTCATTTTTGCTTGCCCTGAATTGTAGAATAAATCAAAGATATAGTGCAGCTGAATTCAAATGAAAGAAAGATTTACAAAATCTCTCCCTCCAACAAAATAGAAGTTTCATGCATAAGCAGCATACCAAGGATTAGTTAGTGTTAATTAAAGAGACAAGCCCAACCATACAACCAACAAAAAAATAAAGGCACAAAAAACCACAAAGCAAGAAGACGATAATTTTAAATACCAATAACAAATTGGACTCCTAATGGCCTGCAACTTGACATTTATCAGGAATATCAGCAGCTCTTGAATGAGGTGATATGACTCCCAAAAAACTCCAAAAATATTTCCAAATGCATCATTTTCCTGGCCCCTTTTATCATAATTTTTTTTTTCTAATTTTAATAAACTAAATAATCAATAATACAAGATCCTGCCCATTTTCTAGGCTAATCAAGATAGGAAAGAAACTTGAGCATCCGAGCCCCGAAACATCAAGGTTGGGAGAACACCCAAGTACCACTTGGCCTATAAGGCCAATGGTGAGAATATTTTTTGTTGTAAATGTGAGGCAAAACCAACCATATATAAATTTCCCATTTCTCCTAAATCTGTTCTTATTTTTGTGATGTAATATTTGACATACATGCTTATTCAATGTTACAGAAAAAAATTTTATAAAAAAAAAAAAGGACGACACTTACCACCTTATAAATATACCATATGATACCAAACATACATGCAACAAAGACTAGAAAATTGTCAACCATCAACTACGTAACATCACAAGCCACCATATACTAGAAATTGTCAACCGTAGACCATATGTTTTTTCTATTCTCCTTTTATTTCATATATTTTTACCATTTTGCCATTGGTCCATTAGCTTTCCATCATGGTAATTGTATGTTTCTCAAACCTTAGGGGTTTTTTGCCTAATTGCCAAACCACAGAGGAGGTAGGTGAAAGTCTCCTCTTTTTCTATCATAACACACTAATCACAATTGCTTCAAACCCAGACAAAAAACATGCAAAGCCAAAGGTCACAATAGGTGTAATCAAAGAAGGTGTAATGAAAGTAAGATTGGATAGGGAGTACATACCTTCACAATAGGTGTAAGGAACTCAACTAAGAAAGAAGGAATTTTTAGCAACGATGGCCAAAATGAATGAATAAAATTAATCAACAACCCTTTAATATGTGATCCATCATGGTCCTGTGAATGCATAAAAATTGAAATTTTTAACCAAGTCATCAGCAAACAAACTAAAATGCATCCACACTTAGTAATGAATCAACATATAGATAAAACCAAAAGAAAAAACAAAACAAGAAGTTAAATGTTTTAAACCTGATCAGTCATGATCATCAAATGACCATATCTCAAAGTCTTCACACTGTCATACTGTTTTCCATGCTGAAGTCCAAGAATCTGCTTGATGCTCTGAATTTCAGCGTTCTCCATGATCTGTTTATGGCTTGCTTCCCTCACATTAAGCAATTTACCTCTCAACGGTAACACACCATAATAATTAAAATTACTTGAACCTGTAGTACTTATAAGACCACATTTCAAATTTTCCCTTTACCTAGGTCAAAACCTGTAGTACTTACAAGGAAACTTGATAGAAGTAATGACATTATGATCACCTAACTTCAGAGTTATGAATGGAGCAAATATCAGTAACTACATATGCAGAAAATAAGCATCTCAAATGATTTTGTTTTAATTATTTTATTTTTTATGACTGGTAGATTGAACACCTATTTTCATACCCAATCTTTACAAAAGTGTATGAAAACTTGGTTTTTACTTAAACATCAAAATAAACATCAATTTTTACAATTTTACTTAAACCAGATCAATTTTTACAAAAGTGTCAATTTACTTAAACCACCAGATCTGAAGACCACAAAGAAAGCATTCTAACCTGAAGTGCTAGGAAATGTAGGAAATGTTTATCAACAAACAAATAATAATACCTTCTGCAAATGACAACACTTCTGTATATCTTCCAAGTTTTTAGAGGTTTTGACAGACTCATCTTTAGATATAACCTGCAACACAACTACAACTTTGATCAGTAAACAACAAAGAGAACCCACTCATGGAGAGAACATAAATGGACAAGGATACTGGTCACTTTCCCCTGTACCGCTGCAAGGAGCATCTAATAAAACCCTATCAGCTATGTTCTGACCCATAACTTTGGGCAACTGGAATCGGAAGGAAAAAGGAAAAAAAATATGAAGGCATTCGATATATTCACCAGAATTGAAGGGGAGCTTACAAAATTACCATAGAATATAATGGTTGCATAAGCGAGTGTCGAGAAGTAAAAAGGATGCAAGAAGCACCTTTGGAAAAATAATTTGTTGTTGGCAACTTTTTGAGTGCAAAAAAATGGTTATACATACATCAGCAGAATAAACTTTATACACCAACTTGTCTGACATCAGAATAAATGAAGATTTGTATTTAGACTAAATTTTAAGAAAGTAAATGAATGCCATTTTTAGAATGCCATTTTTATCCCTCAAAAAAATAATTGAACACCTTAGTTGTCGATGTGAGCTCGTAACACCAAATATTGAATGCCCTTTTTATTTTTATGTCCAGTTAACCCTACTCAAAGTTTAGAATAAATTAGAATGGGTACTTAAAAAATTGGCAGAGCAATGATGATAGTATCATCTCAAATACAAATCCCATTTAAAAAATTGCTCATTTTGAGATTTTGGATCATGTTATTTAGGATTTTTGGAATAAAAGATCCTATAAAATAAAAATTTGAAGGAAAGTTCAAAAAAAAAATGTTTGTAGACAATACAGAGAACGCATTTTGGTTCCATTAACAGAAGCTATCACAATTTATATAACTCAAAAAATTGCAAAAAAAAAATTAATAAAATAAAGTATAGAGAGAGAGAGAGAGAGAGAGAGAGAGGGGCTCACAAGAAAGGAAACTAGTAGAAAGTCTCCACTCCAAGGCATTCAATCAGAGAGGACCGCACAGACCCGAAGTAAAGCAATAAGGTGAGCCTGCACAAGCTTCACCACTAACATGAAACAAGTAGGCCTTATTGATTGAGCCAAAATCTACAAATGGGGTCCCTGCACCTAGTGAAACATAAGTGACATGAACTACACATTATATCACCAAAGGGCCAAAATAGACCTAAGAAAAGTATTCAAAATAATCTCCATTATAAAACAAACATATGCGAACCCTATGTTGAGATTAAAATGCATTAGAAAGCACCAAAATGTATGGTTGATAGCTAAAACAAAATCAAGTTATTAATGAATGTCAATAAACTAAATTTTATTGATAAAAGGGGCCTTAAAATCATGTGGCGTGATTTATAACAAGAAACAGGCTCATACTTTCATCAAATTCATGTCAATGCAAACACCTCCATGAGGTGATAATGTATGACCCTCGAGTGATGTGGCTCCACCATAGGGACATGCTCATCAAATTAAACCAAAAAATAAATTATAAAAAAAATAAAAGAAAAGTTCAAATAAATAAGCCAGTTGTCAAAATTATTTATAGTGAATATGTATATGTTAAATAAAAACAACCATTATATTTGGTTCTTTTCTGCATTTCAAATTTGGATTTTCATGCCTAATGAATGGATACAAATAATTATCAGTTTGAACAATCCAATAGCCCAAAACTCAAATGCGTAAAAGAAGAGTTACCCATTCACATTATATATTAGCAACTGAAAAACAATAAAAAACAATTGAAAGAAAAAGAGAAAAATCAGACAACCCTCAAAAGCAAGGAGCTCAGACCTTATACTTGTTACAAGATTTGACTATCTTGGACACTTCCTCTGCATTCCTACTTGCACAAACTACAGTTAAGGTGCATTTTGGAGAGAAAACTAGGATACACTACACAATGTACTACTGAGCAGACCAAAAAAAATGGAGAAAAGGACTACTAAAAAATAGCTTGATGAACCATCTTTACAATAGACAGTCTTATCCCGTATCTCATATTTGTGATAACAACCAAACTAACACCAAGGACTGCATGTGTTAGTTCAAGTTAGATGAAAATTCTATGTATATCATGAAATGTTGAAGTAATAGCCTATGAATCAATAATGAACAAATTCAAGACACAAGTCAAATCTATGTCCACTATCAATAGCTAAAATAGGAACTGCATCATACATAGATTTTCTCAAAAGTAGATGAAAATAGAAGCAACATATCAATTAAGAGCATTCAGTGAACAAATAAAATGTCGCGTTTCTTTTGAATGCACGAGCTCATGGTGTAAACTGGGACCAACACAACAAAAATGGAAAATAACGAAAATAAATACAAGTGCCAAATTATAAAAATAAACAAAATTATAGTTTCCAAGTTAAAAAAAAGCCCAATCTCACCTTGGAAAAACTGCCACATCAGGGATATTCACTGCTTTGTGGAAGCTATTTTGTGGTTTCCCATGGAAGTACCTCTCATCAAAATCCATTGTCATATTATCCTGCATAATGAAATGTGTCCATTCCCAATAGAATATTAAACATCTACTAAAGCACTTTATATTTCAATTCAAAAGTAATAATAATAATAATAATAATAATAATCAATGCTATTTTGATTGCTGAGGATTGTAGAAAATTACGAGAATAATCATTTGTGAAGTAAATATGGCAAATTCTCAATAGAATATGACAAAGTAAACAGACAATTCATCATTAGATTTAAAAATTATCCACGAAAATCAAAACCTTTGTAACTAGCTCCCCTTAACACATAATTCATCATTAGATTACAGATTCTCAGCCACAAAATTGAAAAAGAAAATTCAGAAAAATCAAAACCCTTGTAACTAGCTTCCTTACATTTCATCAATTGAGATGAAGAATGAAGCTGAGAACAAATCACGGTTGTGCAACCAAGAATTTCAACACTAGGAAATTTCCGAACAAGGGCATTCTTCTGAGCCATCTTCCTTAGGAGGACTGGGATCAACTTAACAAATCTGACCAAATTTGTCAAAAGTAATTCATACCACAATGTTAGATTAAAAAACAAAACTAGAAAAATGGAGAAAGATAAGTGAAATTCATCAACAACCCATGCTTGAACTCAATAATGACAATAATAAATAAATAAATAATGAAAACCGAACTTTGTAGCAGTATTTTCAAATTACAAGAAGAAGAAGAAGAAGAAGAAGAAGAAGAAGAAGAAGAAGAAGAAGAAGAAGACACGTCGAAACTAACCTGTTAGGGCTGCAAGTCGAAGCTATGTTGAAGAAGAAGAAGAATCGAAGCTCTGTTCAAGAATAAAAGTCGCAACTTCTATTTACCCTAAACCGATTGATGTTGAACAACTTTAGGGCTATGCGAGAAAAACATAGATAGATATTAGATAGCTTCAAAGATTCATTTACCAAAAAAAAAAAGCTTCAAAGATTCAGAAAATAGTTTCAAAGATTCAGAAAATAGCTTCAAAGTGTTGAGGCATTGGCTTCAATTTCCTTATGCCTCATCACGAATTACCTCAAATTTGGACAAAGAGGACTTAGAAGAGGCACTGCGATACAAAGAATGATGTAATTACATACCTGACAATGGAAAAAAAGGAGGCCGATGGAAGTAATAGTAGCCGACGGAAGCACTGGTCGCCGACGAACTTCAGTCGATGATGGAGAAAATGGTTATGCTATTCTCCATATGTGTCTCTTCATTTTTATTTCTTTTAATTTTGATAGTGCTGGTGTTGTTTTGGATTTTTTATTTTTTTGGGGGGGTTAATTTGCCGCTAATTTTTTCATTTTAGTGCTCAAAATTTTTATTTTGGCACTATTATTATTATGGGCATTGATTTAGACCCCCTTAAAACACTCATCCCCACAACCCCTCGTACACATGGAGGTTAGAGATTGGGTGAGAAGAAAAAAAAAAAAAAAGTTGACCAATCAAAATTAAAGGGGGTCAAGAGGGTGACCTCCAAAGGGGGTCTTAATCTTTATTCTATTATTATTATGAGCCATGATAGAGACCTCCTCCAATCACCACCTCTATCACTCCATACACACGGGGCGGATGGTGATTGGAGGAGTAGAAAAAAAAATGTAACCAATGAGAGAGAGAAGGGGGGTCAAAGGGGGTGGGGAAAAATAGGACCTGAAACATTTTTGTATTATTATTATTTTTTTCCTGATCATACCTTTCACGACAGCAATTGCGTGTCGTGGAAAGCATAATATTTTAAACGGCTGGCTTTTGTACGTCGTGGAAAGTGTAATTTTTAACGACTGACTTTTTTGTGCATCGTGAAATGTTTAATATTTTTATAGTTAATGTATTAACGGCATGACATATGCATGTTATAAAAAATTTTATTATTTACGGCTAACATTGCAAGCCTTAAAAAAGTCATTGTTATTAGCATTCACGACCTACACAATAGACACGTCGTGGTTGAAAAATTATTTACGGCATGCAAAAAAAAGAAGCCATAAAAGTGAGAAACCACGGCTTGCATTTACTATATGTTGTTGATATGAAGCCGTAAAAACTCAGTTTTGTTGTAGTGTAAAATCTGACTGATACTCAGCTTTATAACTAATAGGGCTGCAATGGTCACTCAAGCACAGGAAGTGGCACTCGAGCGACAAGACTAATATGCGTGCATTGCATTAAGTGTCCTCGCTAGAGCTACGTGTGATTAAAAATATATATATATAATCACACTTGTTTAAAAAGTGTGATTAAAAAGTAGTAGTGTATATATATTCACACTTTAATTAGGTGTGATTTAAAAAATATATATATAATCACACTTGTTTAAAAAGTGTGATTAAAAAGTAGTAGTGTATATATAATCACACTTTAATTAGAAGGTGTGATTAAAAAATATATAAATAATCACACTTTAATTAGAATATGTGATTAAAAAATATATATATAATCACACTTACTTAAAAAGTCTAATTAAAAAGTAGTAGTATATATACAATCACACTTTAATTAAAAAGTGTGATTAAAAAATATATAAACAATCATACTTTAATTAGAAAGTGTGATTAAAAAGTAGTAGTGTATATATAATCATACTTTAATTAGAAGGTGTGATTAAAAAATATATATATAATGACACTTAATTGAAAAGTGACATTAAAAATAAATATTATCACACTCAATCAAATTAAGTGTGATTAAAAATTAATCTAATTTTTTTTTTATCACACTTTCAATAAAAGTGAGACTTTTTTTTTCATCAAAGTGTGATCTTTAACTATTTTTGTAGTAGTGTGGGGTGAGGTTTGGCGGTGGAGGAGAATTTGAACAAAATGTTGTGTGTAATTGTAAACAGAGAACAGGGGTGGGCGCGAGATTTCCCTCTAAAAAAATTTCGCCTTTAACGACTAAATTCGTTTTTTGTCGCAAAATCTCAAATATATAACGACTAATTTTTTTAGTCGCCAAATCTCAATCAACGGTGACTAAAATATTAGTCACTAAAAATATTAATTTGGCGACTAATTTTTTTTGGTTGCTGAAAATAAGTTTTTGGCGACCAAATTTTTGGTCGCCAAAAAATATGTGACCTTCCGCAACCAAATTTGTAGTTGGTCGGCAAATGCATACCACTTTTTGCGACCAACTCATTTTTTGGTCGCCAAAATATAACCTTCTGCGACCAATAATATTTGGTCGCCAAAAATAATGATCATTCGCGACTAATTAAAATTTGGTCACCAAATGTGATTTTTTTGCGACCAAAATTTTTTTGGTCGGCAAAAGTGGTCGCAAAATGTGTAAATTCTTGTAGTGTAACTAGCATAGTAAACGCAATTTACCTAAGTCCTCCACCTCACACCAAGTGCTCCACCACGCAACAGATTATGGAAAGCGCAGACCAAGTCCTCCACCACACACCAAGTCCTCCACTTCATAACAGATTATGGAAAACGCAATTGGATATATAGTTTGCACTTTTATATTTTGCAGGGAATTTTATTTTAGTCTCTGTATATAAAATCATGACAGCTAACTTCTTATATTTCTATTCAAATCTCACTTGAGTCTATACATATAAAATTGTGAGAATTAACCTCCTATACTTTTGGTAAAAATCTGATTTTGATCCCTACACAAGTGTAAATGTCTCTTTTATGTTACTCAATCGTTTAAATCTTTAACATAATCTAATTATGTAATAAAAATGTGACTACGACATGAGATTAAGAAAACAAAATCATCTACATTTTCCACTAATACACACGTTATCTTAAAATTTACATCCAAGTATGACTATATTGAACTAAAACAAAAAGTAGATTGTGAACAATTAAGAAAATAAACTAGGGATTTGTGTAAATTGGAATCATGAAACTTTATTTTTCATGATAACATAGTCTTCTGTCTATTCATCTTTATTTCTCTTTGATTTCTTCGTCGCAATTTTTTTTTTAAATTTCAAAAACTTTGCTTTCTTATTTTTTTGTTCCAATTTTTACCATATGAACACACACACACACACACACACACACACACACATATATATTATAATTCTCATGTGCTTATCACGTAAAACAAAGTGTATTGGTGGGAAACATGAATGATTTTCTTCTCTTATCTTCATTTCGTAGTCACATTTTTGTTATATGACTGGATTTTGTTAAGGATTTAAAAATGAAATAACAACAGAGGGACATTGACACTTGTGTATGGACCAAAGTGGGATTTGAGTAAAAGTGCAGGGGGTTAACTGTCATGATTTTACGTGTAAGGACCAAAGTGAGATTTAATCAGAAGTGCAATGTAGCACTTGTGTCCTTTAAACTTTTGGAGGGTGTATTTAATTACTGTACTTTCATTTTGGAAGTCTGTAGAGTTGTTGTATCTTGGTTTTGGAGGAGTACAATTCGATTTAGACTTGTTCGAATTGTTCGTTTGCGCTTGTTTAAGTTTAAAAGTCTTTTGGGAACTTGGAAACTTTGTTCTGGTGTTGACACTAGCCTTTCTGGGGGTCGACACCGCCTTGCTGCCTTGCTCTTAGTTTCTCTGTTGGTTTGTAGGGTTGACACCACGGATCCCAAGGTCGATCCATGTCTACGACTATGTTCTGGGTGTTGCTACTGAAAATAAAAAAAGTAGAATTTTTCTGAAAAGTGTTTTTGAAAAGTGGTAACCAAGCATATAAATTGGTTTGTAGGGTTGACCCTTGTTTACTGAACACAATAGTGTATCAGCTTTTCTTCTTGAGGGTCGACACCACTGTTTTGAGGGTCGACCCTTGTGAATTATTTTCAGAAATTTTAGTTCGATTTTAGTCCCAACTTTTGGGGGTTTTGACTTCCATTGACTTTGGGACTATTATTCTATTATTACCTAGCCACTATAAATAAGCTCCAAAACACTTTTCCTTCATTATTTCTTTTCTCTTTCATTCTCTATTCCTCTTTTCATCGTGAATCTCTCTCTCTCTCTCTCTGTGTCTCACAAACACACACATACACACACAAACTCTAAACTCAACTTTTTGAGTTAGATCACTAGATCTACTCACATAGAGGCATCTTTTCACCTTGGTCCTTTGAGAAAGGTTGTAGATCTTATCAAGAGCTTTCTTTGGATCCAAGAGTTTCATGGTTTGATTGACTTTGAGTTTTCCAGAGTTCTCCTCTTCGCTTCAAGAGGTAGGGTCTGTTTCCTAAACTCAAACATAAGTTCGGTAGCATATTTGTGGCGTATTTTGTTATTTATATTTGGTACTTATTTAGTATGATTTTTACCCTAGTTATTTGTTATTTCAAAAGATTTATGGATTTTGATGTTTTGGGTTAAACTTAGGGTTTGGATTTGAAATGTAAAAGAGAGATTTTTCAAATGAATTCTTGAACAAGGTTATGATTTTATATGGGTGGTTGAGATATATTGACATGGTGGCTTTCCTTTAATCAAAATTGATTTTGAAAGAAAATGATGTTTTGTTCTAAAACCATGAGTTTTGGCTTGTGTTGGAAAACAATGAAAAATTATGTTGGTTTTGTAAGAGATGGGAAGAAAACGGGTTGTGAGATTTTCAAAATGGTTGTTGTTACACTTTTGGAAAATATATCTATATTGATATCTTTTGTTTATTGCATTAGAGATAACTGTTTTGGCTACCGGTAGAGGATAACATTGCCGTGTATTAGAGATTGCATGTGCATTAGGAAATTTGAAATTATTCAATCATGGAGCATGTAATGGATTCGGAAATTGAAACTGCTTGTTTTGGAAAGATATTTTAGAAATTCTCACATTATGTTTTGGAACATTTGTATTGTTTTGGAAAAACAATATTTCGAGTTACATGTATTATACTATTGAAAAGAGTAAATAAAATGGTGAATCTTGGAAGTAAGTATTGTCTCGTTGAAATAAGTTAGCTTGAGTATCTATGGTGAAAGTCCTAAAACGCGCGCGTATATATGGGTGCCGATCCCGTGGACGAAATATCTGTAAAATGGCAACAGTAGCACTCGTATAGCCTATATTTACATGGGTGCCGATTTACAGTTTTCCGCAGAAGAAATTTCCTTGAAAAGTTGCATTTGTTTTGGAGATTTACCCATTTTATTTACTATTGTGTCGGTTTTGAAACAAGATGTTTGGAAATATTTTGAGCAATGTATTTGCTTTTGTTCAGCGAAGTGGTCGCATTTGATTTAGCAATGTTTTTGCTAGTTGGTAGTGAGATACTTAGATTGGTTTTTGAAAAGGGGTTTCATATCAAACAGATGT